TGAAATCATTGAAGAGAAACATTGAAACAAGTTGTATAACCTTGTGATTTGTGTTATATGTGGCTGTCTCTCCTCTAGCTTATTGTACTCTGCACCAACCAAAAGTATTTGTATTGTTGTCTAAGCAAGGATCAAATTACTGCTTGTTATTGAGGATTAACACATTTAAACAAATCACTTTTTGTATTACTAGCATTTAGAAAACATTGCTACAAAATATGTCCAGAGGAATAATTTAAACCCTGCAACCCCAGTGTTAGCAGACCTGTACTTCTCCATTGCATGGATGAGTTGTTCCATCAGTGTTCTCAGTGAATAACTGGGACAGTGCAGGAGCTTTGTGGACTGTGAAGGAAGGAGGCAAAGAGAAGTGCTGCCACCTGGTGTCGGCCCAGACAGAAAGTAAAGCTGTGTTTTATTCCCGACTCGGAACAGCAGATGGCAGCAAATGAAAAATCATATTCCTTGTAAGGAGGAAGGAGAACACTTGGAATTAATGTTAATCAGTAAGTGATGTATTTTTAGATGCATGTAACTTGGCAGCGGTCAGTAAATCTCTGAAAACGTCTCATCGTCAGCAGACTCCCTCTTACTGTGTGCTGTGCGTCACCCTGTTGTTATCCTTTAACCACAGGTGTGTCAGTGTGCAAACTGTTAGTTTACAGCGAAGGACACACTTACAATTAACTTCCTTAAAGGGAGTTTCTAAATCTGGCAGAGCTAGTGTTACGGCAGCCAATATTCATGACTGTTGTGTACGTGTAGTCTTCTTTAACAGTGCAATATCTTTCTGACTAAACTATGTCACTGAACCGTTTTTTTGAAAGTTTATGACATTTAGGTCAAATATGATGGGCATGAGAGAATTTATGCAAAACCACCATGATACAGATCTGCTTAACACCCAATACAAATAATCTGAAAACAGTGTAGTCCATGTTGATCACCAAGATTATCACAACGCAAAATGTGGTAAACTGGATATTTTTTGTATGCAGAGAGAATTGAGTTTCACTTGATCATTGTGCCTGAGCAAATGAGAAAAACTAAGTATAATCTCCTGAGCATGGTCAGACGCTTCACAAGGCTGTTATAACAATAATACAATAAGTGTTGGATGATATGAAATACAGGCATGTTTTAGGCTGCCTGGTTCCACCTTGTTCGGTGAGTTGGGGTCTTAACATAAAAAAGGTAATGTACCAAAGTGGTTCAGTCTGAAATGCTTCTCTTTGGTAGTTTTTGGATAGAAAGTGTTGCTGCTCTGGGTCTTATGGAGAAAGAAGTTTGTTAGACCATCATCAGAAGAGCACGGTTAAATAATTGCACACAAAAGGTTAAAGCAATATCAAAGTTTTATTCTTAAAATGTAGTATAGAGAGGAACAGTAGTACAATTCAGACAGAAAAAAAGGAGAATGTAGTTCCATCTTTGATAAAAACGTAAAAAGAGTAACCTGAATTTGCCGTGTTCGGAGGGCACTGAGGCGCGGCCCGAGTTTTGCATCACTGTTAAAGTTCGAGAGAAATTGAAAAATACAACCTTTTGAACAGCGTAAAAAAATACAGCTGGGGAAAGAAAACCTCTGCTTTACATCTTTAGTGTTTTTTGCTTTTGTTTTCAATGTTTGTTTTTTTGTCCATATAACAAATACAGCATAAAATCTAAAATGATACATCGTTTTGAGTTTCATTCGTTACAGTAAAATCAGTAGAATGGTAAATAGTATCAAAAGAACAAACAAGACAACAGGTTGGTGTGATGAGCAAGCACACGGCGTGAACAGAGAGCGAGCGGCGGAGAAAGGTTCACGGAAATAAAACCGCCACGCAGGGAGGTTGAGCTGACCATGTGTTCCATTAAGTAAATCCACTAGTTAAATAATATATTCTTCAT